CAAGCAATTATCCTGCCTCAGCCTCCCGAGTAGCTGGGATTACAGGCATGCACCACAACACCTGGCCAATTTTGTATTTTTAGTGGAAACTGGGTTTCTCCATGTTGATCAAGCTAGTCTCAAACTCTTGACCTCAGATGATTCACTGACCTCAGCCTCCCAAAGTGCTGGGATTATAGGTTTGAGCCACCGTGCCCAACCAGGAAATAACTTTTTAAGTAGAATTATTTACAAAAAAGCATGTATTGGAGTTAGGCAGACTTGTTATGCGAACTTCAACTTCATCATTTTCTTGCTTCCTGAACTTTATTGAATACCTTACCTTTTTTTTGAATTTTAGATTCTCTATGAATATTTTAAGGGTTAAATGAGATAATGATGAAAATAATAGTTGATATGCCGGGCAGTTTCCCTTTAGTCCTCACAGCCCACCGAGGTGATTATTCCCACTTACCCAATGAGCAAACAGATGCAAAGAAATTAGGTGAATTGACTGAGGTTATCGAACTATTAAGGGGCAGAATTTATATGTACCAGTCAGTATAATATAGAAGTTAAGGACATAAGTTCTCTATAAGGCTGCCTGCTCTGCCCCTTGGTAGCAGTTAGGGTAGTTGTGAATATAAAATGGTTTAATACATGTAAAGCACTTAGAAAATTCAGGGTTACAGATCCTATCGTTAACCCAGGGCCCCCAAAATGTGTTCTTTCCATAATCAACTTCCTTCATATACTGCCAACACAAGACTGGCTATACCCAACACTTAGCAATTTTTGGATTAAATCTCTACTCTTTTTATTCCCTTCCTACATAAACATTTGTTCTGTCATAACTAAAGACTAATTCAAAAGCTGTGTGTGTGTGTGTGTGTATGTGTGTGTGTGCACATTCACATGTGGGGGGGATTGAAAATTGCAGTTTAAATATACAGCACGTCATTTTCATGCCAGTTTAAAATTATTGACCAAGAGACAAAGTAGGGTCCATAATCAGAATCTCTAGGCAATTTTGTAGAGTGACTTCCCTGAGTTGGATGTGTGATGGCACAATAAAAAAATTCATCCATCCATCTATCTATTAATTTCTCCTATCAGCCAAACAAAAATATTACTTTATCTACTTATTATATGCCTGGCACTACAAACTTAATGTGACATTTTTGTTCAAAGATGTTCTTACAACATTTGTGACCAAAACCAATTATTTGTGTGTGTGTTGGGGGGGTTACCTAATGTGCCCATTCTCCCAGCAAAACTGTTCTGAAATTTCCTGAGATGCTGATTCATCCCATGTTCCACTGAAGCTAGTTTGAATCATATGACATTTCTCATTCTTGGATCATTATGTCTCTTTCAACTACTGCCAAAACTCACGTATTCAGGCCCTGTGGAACCTGTAAAACTGCTCATAGACATTTCTCGAACCTCACTGTAACTTGAGTACTTTCTTTTCTCCCAGCGACCTCAGGTCAGCCAGCATTTTTCTTGGCTTTTGCCTTGCAGTGGTTCATTTTCCAGCAGAAGTGTCAGAGATCAAGAGTTATATTATCAGAAAATAGAGGGTAATATGGTTTGGCTGTGTCCCTTCCCAAATCTCATCTTGAACTGTGTAGTTCCCATAATCCCCAGTGTGGTGGGAGGGACTTGGTGGAGATGCTTGAATCATGGAGGTGGTTTCCCCCATCTTATTCTCATGATAGTGAGTTAGTTTTCACTAACTCATGAGATCTGCTGGTTTTATAAGGGACATCCCCCTTCACTGGGCACTCATTCCTCTCCTCTCCTTCCACCATGATTGTAAATTTCCTGAGACCTCCCCAGCCATGCTGAACTGTGAGTCAATTAAACCTCTCTCCTTTATAAATTACCCAGTGTTGGGTATATCTTCATAGCGGTGTGAAAACAAATTAATACAGAGTGGATCCAGTCACTGGACCTCTGAATAATGCGCAAAATAAACGAGAAGTAATAAATTTTTATTCATATTTTTAACTGTGTCGTAGACAGATGCTATTGCCAGGAAAATGGGTTGCTAATGGTTGAAGTGATAGGGAAAAGTGTTTGATTTATAAGCAGACTGTTTTATAATGTTCATTTTTTTTGTTGGTTTTTTTTTTTTTTTTGAGACCAAGTCTCACTCTATAGCCCAGGCAGGAGTGCAGTGCACAATCTCGGCTCACTGCAACCTTCGCCTCCCAGGTTCAAGTTATTCTCCTGGCTTAGTCTACTGAGTAGCTGGGATTACAGACACCTGCCACCATGCCTGGCCAATTTTTGTATTTTTAAGTAGAGATAGGGTTTCACCATGTTGGTCAGGCTGGTCTCAATCTCCTGACCCCAGGTGGTCCACCCACCTTGGCGTCCCAAAGTGCTGGGATTACAGGTGTGAGCCACTGCGCCTGGCCATGAAGTTCATTTTCAATGCAGTTCTTTATAAAGGGGAATGCCTCTTGCCCTAGATATGATATTAAAAGATAGTAGACAGAGGCAGGGAAGGGGGTTTTTATTGATCTTCACTATCTTTGGGGTGCTCTCCTGAGTACTTTACACCTTCTAATTTATTTAATCCTCAGATCTGTGTTGCCAGATAGTTACTGTTATTGTTGTCATCAACTATATAGTTATTGTTATCAACAACTTATTAGTAAGCAGATAGACTGGGAAAGGTAGAATAAGTTGCTGAATTCACGTAGCTGGGAAGAAGCAGTGCTGCCCGCAGGACTGAATTCTGCCATGATATATTACCAACTGCTGTAGTATGCAGCTCCAGGCAGTCTCCTGAGCATGAGTCCTGGCTACAAGCCTGCATGAGTCCTCCTACAACAAGGCAAGGAGCTCAGCAAAGAAACCAACCTGAGACTAAATATTTCCTTTCCACTCTTTCTCCCCTCTTGCTGAACCCCAATCTCCCTCACAAAGACTGTCAGGGAAATGTGGCAGGTTGCTGTGCAGAGCAGAGGATGGGTAGGTCGGAGATGTCCAGTGGTCTGAGTTTAAATTTCATCTGTGACATTTATTTGCTGAGTGTACTGGAGCAAGTGACATTTACTACCTTAGCTTTGGTTTCTGCAGTTGTAAAGTAGAGATAATGTGAGCAGCTTCATTCATTCACAGAGCTGCTTTTATGAGTAATACCATGGGCTAGACACTGTTCTGGGGGCTGGGAGATAAAGCAGCAAGCAAAACAAAACCCCTGTGTACAAGAAGATTATATTTGTATTGAAGAGAAAACACACACACACACACACACACACACACACACACACACACACAGAAGAAATGGATTCTTAGCATGGATTAAGTAGGAAAATACACATAAAGTCGTTAGACTAGTGCTTGGCATGTGGTAAACACTCAATAAATGTTAACTGTGACTCTTTTTCCATCTGTGTAGTGATTTAAAGTCAAATAAACCAATGTATCCAGTCTTCTGAATAGGGTTTCTTTCCCTGGCAGATTCTTCCACTTCTAGGCCCACTGAGTTTTCTAAAATCTCCACGAGCTGCCAGAGCATTGAGGCCGTGTGCCATGGTCTCAGACGTGGAGTGAAGCTGCCTGTTTAGTTGCTCATGTGATTGTCTTCTGCAAGTGGATTTTAAGCCCTTTGAGGGTAGGGACCAGTCCCTTATTCAGCATTCTGAAGGCCTGCGCATAGTTAAGTACCCAATACTTACTTGTTTCTGAAAGGAGAAAAGGCAGAGTAGTTTGTACGTGGATCCATGCATTGCTCTTTGGTGGTTTCATATCTACCCTGTTTTACTGAGAAAAGGATTGGCTTTTGCTATGGTGATTGGAAGGAAGCCAGAGAGAGACAGAAAAATTCATTTGCCTGAGCTGCTTCTTTTCTGAAGGAGAGGATGGCATCAGTCTTCCGTGGCTCCTTAATTATTCTTGCTGGGACTGAGGGCTCATTCCTGAGGCCTGCCAGTGACAACAACTTAATGTTGTCATAAGCAGAACAACTTAATGGGAAGAAGAGAGGCCTGTGATATCTCTGCCAGGACCCAGCAGTGGGACTATTACATGGGGAGTGGCAATTCCCCTTTTGTCTCCCCTTCCATCTGACAGGCAGCTGGGATGCATCTTGTCTTCAACTCACAATTCTCTGGAAAAATATGGTGCTTAAGAATTTTGGGATAAATTGGGTTCTATACGGAGAATTAGGCTGGGATGTGATTCCTCCTGTAAATATGACACTCTGTATAACCTTCTTTATTCACTGTGAGAGGGGGCCATCTTCTCCCCTTGGAGATTAACAGTGATTCTAACTGCCTTAAACTGGGCCACTTCCAAAGTGTTTTCTGCATGAGCAAGAGAAACATTCAACCCAAGACAAACAAACAGAATTATATGGATGGCTTGCATTCTGCTGAACTGCTCTATTTTTAATAATCTTTTAAAAAACAAGCTAGTGGTTGCCTATCTTCTTAAAAACAAGAACAGTCCATATATATGTGATAATTACTTGTCTGAGAGCTTCTCAATCAATCAATCCATCCATCCATCCATCCATCCATGTATCTATACTTGTATCTTTTACAGGATTATTTGCATGCAGTAGAGCTAGGAGCATCTCTTTCGATTAAATTATGTTTAACCTGGTTGTAATATTGTGGTGTCTATTTATAAAAATGAACTCTTGAAAGAGCAGAGAGACAGAGAGAGAGAGAAAAAATGTTGAGTGTATTTTACATTAAATGCAAACTCTTGTCAAAAAAGATCACATTGTGTTTTATAGCACATTTATTAAATCTCCCCAAATATGTCCTGGAGAATTAATTTTCATTCGGTTGGTTTTTAGCTCACTTATCGAATTGGAATTTGAGGCAATTAATTTGAAGAGTGGCCACCTACCCACCCACGCTTTCCTAGAACACCCACACACATATGGGAAGTAACGAGCAAGCAGTAACTGAGTTTTTCTTTCTCTTCCCTTTTCTTTTCCTCTTTGAAATATTTACCACTCTTGCCTGTTAAATAAATGATCTGTCTCTTTACAGGATAGTGACAACCTCTGGTGGGACGCATTTGCCACTGAATTTTTTGAAGATGACGCCACATTAACCCTTTCATTTTGTTTGGAAGATGGACCAAAGCGATACAGTAAGAAAGAAGTTTATTTTTCTAATATTTCCTCTTTTTGTTCCTGTAAGAAAACCACAGGGGTCTTCAGAGAATAGCACAGAGCTGACAGCCTGACAATAACGCCTCTACTCCTGACAATGTTCTTGCTTCCCATCAAGTCATTGTCACCGGGTGGCAGCCCGAGCTGGCTCTGAGAGATTTCTTTCCAGGCTTAGAATGTTTGGGTATTTGCCTGTTTAGAGAGCAGGGTAAATATGAACCAAGTCACCCAGTGATGAGTGGGAGTGGAATGATGGAAAGTTTCCATGCATTTCTTCTCTGCCACCCTTTATCCTTGACGGTTCACACTTGACATCCAATGTTCTGCTTCTGAAGGTTCTTAAAAAAAAAAAAAAAAAAAAAAATCTTCCTACTGTCACTGTATCAGCCACATTCTTTTAATTCCGTCTTATCAATTATCTCAGGTATTTACTGACAAGTGCTATCTTTTCTTGGGCGGGGGGAGGCCACAGTAGCTTTGAACATACAGTTTGGGATTAGTGTTGACAGAATTGTAGTTCCTTGTCTTTCAGGCAAGTGATAACTCTTTAAAGATCCTCAGATTACAGCCTGTGGCACCCTGGGTAACAGCTCATCTGTCCTGATTAGGTTCAGCCAACTTGTCAGAGATCAGATTTTCTAGTTGTGCTATCAGACCAGGAGGCATAGATGCATCAGCACAAGAGCAATTAATGTCCAGTTAGATCAGAGAGAGATGCGTTATTAGAAATCAGTGTTGCACGTAGGAAAGAATCCATCAGAGGAAAAACATCCCCACTGTCACAATGATGAAGACACCAGCCGTGGTATAAATGAGTCAATCCAGAACATTTGAAAAATTAACAGGTAATAGGGTTCTTGATACATACAATTGAAAGCTCTGATGGTTGCTAATCTATTTCAAAGCCACTAGGGAACAACAATTTGAAAAAAATTGGGGGAGGCTTTAGGCAACTTGGTGTTATTTGCATACTCTTAACTATACTAGTAGCATCGATTGCATAATTAGCTGATTAGTTATGCTAATATATGCACATGGTGATTTTGCAATAACGTTAAATAGGGGAGAGTAGCTGAGTGGAGTTGCCACCCAACTGAAACTGGTTGCCAGGCACATCTCTATATTTGTGTCTCATAGACTTTTAAGGTTGTGGGACATTTCTAATCAATATTTTAGGTGAGAGGAAGGGCAGGTAGTATATTAGAAAATGAGCTGTTTAAAGCATCTTTATATACAACAAAGTGACTCCTGGTGCAAACACTGGTAAGCCTGCCTCACAGGAGTCCTGCTGAGTTAACTTGCTCTCTGGTGTGTGGGTGCCCCCCAACAGCCTCAAGCCCTAGAGAGGTGTTTCAGAAGTCCCTGGGAGATAAATGAACTCAGCAGTCCAACAATTACTCCCTGCTCAAAAAGCTGCCTGATCAATGGCGTATAATTTCTAACCAAGCAGTCATCCATCCTCTGAGCCACCTTATTTTTTTCTGAGGCATAAGCTCAGATAGCTTCAAGTTATTATTGTTTTATGTTCCTGTGCTTTGTTGGTTCGGGAATCCATCAGGGACTGCTCAGGGAACTAGAATTACAGTTTTAAAATATGTCCTAATACAACAGAGTCTGACTCTTCCCTCTGGTCCATCCCACCCCAGCATCATTTGGGAGTGAAGCATGATCATCGCCTGTTTAAGATCTTATTTCCATGTACAGGAGTGAATGCCTGACTACGAGCCATGGTTGCCCAGGTTTCTTTGTTTCTCCAAGCCAAAATATTTCCCGAGTGGAGAAGAGAAACAAAGATGATTGACGGTCTTGAGCCGAGTCTCATCAGCTGCCTTGCTGACAGCCTGGTGATGTGCACACGCTGCTGATGTGCGGGCTGGTGACAGCTGATTGACAGCTCAAGACTGGGAGACAAGGAAGATGAAGCTTGCTTAGAACGCCTGACGCACACTGTTTATGCAGCACTCTGTGCTCAGGCACTGCCACTTTAACCCGTTCGAGGTCCAGGCACGCTGTGCCAGGCTGGGCAGATGCCTGGCTGTCCTGGGACTGGAAGCTGCAGCCCTTCCTTCATGCTTCCCAGGAAGCTGAAAGCTTTGTTTTTCTGATGAGGAAAATAAGATTTGGCTATTTCATTTGTATTTGTGAAAAAAAAAAAAAAAGAATCCTTAATTACACACATACTAAATAATAAGAGATATTCTAGCTGAGGCTTTTTTAAGCCTTCACTAGAAAAAACTTTTCCTTCTTCCTCCCCATTGCTGATTTCTGGGCGGGGACTGGGGGGTCCTTTTGGCTCTATGATACCTTATCACTAAGTTGCCAAAAATCCTGTAATCGGTGTTTGCTTGTTTATTTGTTGTATTAGAATGTTATTTCCCTTATTAGAATGTTATTTCCTTGTGGATAAGAGCTTTGTTTTGTTAATTGCTGAATTCTCAGATTAATTCAGGAACTCACACTTAATAGGTGGCTCAGTAAGTATTTGTCGAATGGAAGAATAAATGAGTGAACAAATGAATAGACATTTGTAGAAAAGTTTATATCATCAAGTAAAATGTTGGCAAAGCAATCTTTTACTGAGATCTTTGGACATTTTTGAACGGGAAGAAATTGACCCATGGTGGTCTGCTGACATACTCAGACAAACTCTGGGATATAATCTAATCTTTGTTTATTTTTTTGAGATGGAGTCTCATTCTGTCACCCAGGCTGGAGTGCAGTGACATGATCTCAGCTCACTGCAGCCTCTGCCTCTGGGTTCAAGTGATCCTCCTGCCTCAGCTTACCTCGCAAGTAGCAGGGATTACATGTGCCCACTACCACACCCAGCTAATTTTTTTTTATTTTTAGTAGAGATGGAGTTTCACCATGTTGGCCAGGCTGGTCTTAAAGTCCTGACCTCAAGTGATCCACCAGCCCAGATTCACTTTGGCCTCCCAAAGTGCTGAGATTACAGGCGTGAGTCACCATACCTGGCTGTTCTGATAGATTTTAATAGAAACAAAAGTCCCAGCAGTATAATAATTTAAGAGATGATGATGTCCTCGGTGATATATTGTTCCTTTCATTCAGAATTCAGAAAGCTCCTCAGTATTTACCCTCTTCTCCATGCACCCCATCTCCTAAGCTCTTCACTCCCCTGGCAAGGGTGTGTCCACCCAGGTGGGATATGATTTGGCAGGTTGAAGCCACTGACGTTTTCTCAGAGCATAGGTGGTAATTTGTGGAGAGAGCTTCAGGATGGGCCAGGTTATTAGACTATGTAAGAAATTGGCTGTGCATCCCTAAGGCCACTTGCCTGTCCCTGCCCTGGACCAGGAAGGTGCTACTCTGGCAGCTGGAGAAGACGGCATTTCCAGGGAGGAAGTTCTTCCTTTGGATAATGTGGACTCTAGAAAAGAAAAGATAAGAGGTAGACAATTCCCTAGCAGTAGGTCAGTAGAATAAAGAACATTAGGGCTAAAAACGATTCTTTCTAACAATGGAAATTTGGACCAGAGAGGTTAGGTAGATGCCCCACAGGTGAGGCTGAGCCTCAAGTTTGCTGATTACAAAGTCAGCTTTCTTTTTCTTTCTTTCTTTCTTTCTTTCTTTGTTGCTTTCTTGCTTTCTTTCTCTCTCTCACACACAGACACACACACACACACACAGGCACACACACACACACACACACACCCCTATTCCTACATCATGCCATAGCTAAGGGAAAATAAATGATTTTATCAACACACACATTTCTGGTAACAGAAATAAGGGTCCCAAATAATTACTGTCCTTTATCTGAAACAGAAGACAAAAGAAGCCAAATATCAGGTTCCTCGAAGCCCTCTGTGCACCTGCTCTGCAGTTCTAAGTCCAGCAAGAAGTGTTGCTATTCCCTTCTCTGTCTTGGGTTAGGCTGATCACTTGCTGTTAGTTTCAAGCACAATATTAATTTCCCTTTGTTTTTTTTTAGGCATGTAGCAGAACTGTGCCCCACACTATTCTTCCTTATGAGTCACAACCACCATTTGGGTAATATGCTTCTTAGCCGAACTAGCCTGTGTCCAGGTCCACACCAGCCACATTCTTAGTGGTTCACAACTCTTTTGGAAAATATATCCTTGCTGGGAATAATACTTGGAGAAGGATGTCATGAGGCTCATGTCAGGCAGGCGATTCAGGGCCGAGTGTCTGGATGGTGCAGAAGAAAGGTCACAGGGGTTCAGTGCAAACTTTATTGGGCTTTAATCCACGCTTTGCTTGATAAACAGACTTCATCTTCTCGTGGGCAAATGAGTGTAATACTGCCATGACTGAGCTGGGTGCGGTGTCTCACGCCTATAACCTTGGGATTCCGAGGCGGGTGGATCACTGGAGGTTAGGAGTTCAAGACCAGCCTGGCCAATATGGTGAAACCTTGTGTCTACTAAAAATGCAAGAACTTAGCCGGGTGTGGTGGCATGTGCCTGTAGTCCCAGCTACTCGGGAGGCCGAGACAGGAGAATTGCTTGAGCCCAGGAGGCAGAGGTTTCAGCGAGCTGAGATCCTGCCACTGCACTACACTCCAGCCTGGGCAACAGAGAGATTCTGTCTCAAAAAAAAGAAAACCCTACCATCACTGGCTTCTGAAAATTAAATGAGATGTTATAGTCAAAGAGCTGAGGACCATTTGAAGCACTGAATGATCAATATTTATTATCATTGATATGCCTGGCCTGGCCTCACCACAGCTTCTGTGCATTGAAAAGGCTTCCCACTAGGCAGGAATTATTAAGTTCACAATGTGGACAGCCTGATGCAGAGGCTCCCTGGCCAGGTGGAAGTCCATACGACTTCTTTGCTGGGCAGTTCCTGCTGAAATGCAGGACTGAGGAGATTAGATTCTGCTCCCAGCATTCAAGTGTAGAAACCCACTCTCACTTCTGGTAAGTGGTGAGCAGGAGAAGGCAGTAGAGGGGGAACAGTGATTGAGAATGTGTGGGGCAAAAGACTCCAG